AACCTTGGCGACGAGTAGTCTGTACTCGTGTTTTGGTTAAGACTTTTCATGTTTGCTCCATGTGTGTGCGGAGCTTGAACTAAGTCCGTCATTTGTTTTTGTACTTTTTGCTTTCTTTTCTAGATTGTCTATTTTGTGGCCATCTGGGCTAACTCTTATCCCTAACGCACAGTGTGCTAGTGTGTTCTTTATGTTCCCTTCGTGCAGAACTGTTCTGTCATTCCATATGTTCCCCGCTGACTGGTTCCCTTATAGTCCCCCGACAGTCTTTCCTTCCGGTAACATCGTTCCCCTATTTATGAGTGCTTGGAGCCTAGTCCGCTGTCCAAATCTCGAGATTTGAGGGCTCCAAGTATCACTGTTCTGTTTGCATGATCATATTGGCACTGTGATTTGATTGGTGAATCGAATGGTTTTCGAATTATTGCATGACAGCTTGATTGTAACTAGGACAACCTATGATGATGACTAATACGTGCAGTAGAGTTGTGTAGGGGTTCAGTTTTTCAATTGTTTGCTTACCAACTATGACTTGGATTAATCACTTGTTCTTGACAGTCGTTTATGCATCTAGTTCAGGGAATAAGAATGAGAGATAGAGCATATAGGTAGCCATGTGAGATTTGAGCCTGCTCGTTTCTTTCCATGATGTGGAGCATTGACTCACTCTTACCGTCACTCTAGAAAATGGCCAAGTGTAACCACCTCCTAAAGCGTATTATAGCGGGTTTGGGTTTTAATGTCAACCCGGGTCCTAGATGTAATGAATACTCTGTGAGTTCTTATTATTTAGCAGTGAAACTTTAGTGAAGGTCCAAATACGCAAACAAGTAAAGCAAGTAAAAAGGTTGTTTTCAAGTCGAGAGAGGTCACCCGGATATGTTCCCCCCTAGACTGCAGTTAAGCCGGATTGTAATTAACCAATTTCAGGTTCAATGATAGTTATACTGTGGGAGATTCTTAAATAGTCTGAAGTCTCGACTAAAGGTCTCCAGACCCTCTCAATCTGAGTCTCCTGCAGGAGACTAACCTCCACCGGAGTAAACAGATTGAGGCCCTAACGAACAAAACTCCCACTACCGAAGTCAATTCGGTACAGAATAGTGAATTGACTCCTCGAATAAAGTAGCCAATTCACTACCTTCAATCAAGGGTGCTCTATCAACCTACGCAGATATTCTCTTTCTAGGTTAAATCAGAAACAACAGGAATTTGATAAGGATTCATGCCATTCAATAAATCAAACCTCAATTGAACATAATCATACCACTGAATTTGTACTTGGGTTCAAACAATCAGACCTAACATACAAATCTAGGGTTCTTCATACCCATGGGAATAAGAAAGTTAATCCATAGAGAGAGAGATGGGATATCTAGCTCAGATGCGGAAACTATACTGTGAAGGATGAGAATCTGCTTCTGGCACTCAATCAGCTCTTCTCCAAGCGCAAGTCGGGCTCCAATGGTGATGGAGATCGATCAAGGACATTTGCAGAATCAGGTTCGTCACTTTCTCTCTCTAGGTATCGCTTTCTCTCTCTAAAACTCGGAAACCCCTCACTTTTGCCCTTCTTTTTCTTTAAGAAGCTGTCTGTCGCGATCCCCGGCCTGAATACCCGGTCGGGTATTTTGGGTGGCGACCGGGCATTTTCAAAACGCAACGTCTGGAGATAGGGGAAAATCCCCGGTCAAGTCCAAAAAATCCCCGACTGGGGATTTCTGCTCTCTGCCCGGGCCCCCTTCTGCTTCTCAGAGATGCCCAAAGCGTCAAATCCCCGGTCTGTTCCAAATAATACCCGGCTGGGTATTTCTGCTCATGGCCGGGTATTTTGCTCCTCCAGCACACTTCACCCCAAACGTGCTCCTGTCGACGCCTCGATGCCACGCTAAGCCCTGAAATATGACATAAACGCACAGCCTATCTTGAAATCGGCTTAAAACACGAGAATCAACATCTCAAACGGCTCAAGAATAGGAGTAAAAACATGTGTAATCAATGGTCTATCAAACTCGCCCACACTTAACCATTTTCTTGTCCCCAAGCAAACCTAACTCAAACCAATGCAACTGTCTAGACCTCTATAGCAACAAACAACCCCGATCGTCAGTAGAGGATTTTCTAGATCATATAGCAGCTTACGAGGTCAACTGGTCTTCTAAGACGTTCCCTATCTCTCTCAATGCGAGTGCTAGACTCAAGCCAGGATCATGAGTAGAAGTAGAAGTAAGACAGTCAGTTCATGGATAAAGGGACTCACACCATTCACAACCAAAGACTCGTTGTACCGGGGAGCTCTTTCACTTCATTTCACCGTTGGAACCCCTTTTTCACTTTTATTTTACTTTTTTTTTTCTTTTCATTCACTTACCGGGGGTTCCAACTGCAGTCTTTTGCATGGTCGACCCTTATTAGTCGAGCAAGAGCAATTTCTGTACATCTGGCACTCGCCAGAGAACTTCTCTTAACTCCTTTTCCTCAACTCGTGTGGAGGGTCAATGAAATTAAGGGGGGTGGGAAGCTCTATCCGTGCCCTTAAAAACACATCCTCAAATAGGCAAACCGTTCAACGGGTGGAAGTTTCACTTTTACTAGAGACAACTTAGCTTCACCTTGTAAGAGTACCCAACTAAGGATCACTAAAATCTCCTCCGAAACCCGATTTTGTGCAATGGACCGTGCCACACACGTTGGGCTTACCCCATGGTTAAGATTTAATGATTTCGACATGGAGGACCAACTGCTTTTCATTTTTCACATGAGCACCCTATTCGATACACGAGTCCATAACACAATCCAAATAGAGTTACCATTACCACATGAATTCAACGGTCTTAGCTCCACTAATTCACAAAATCAACTGGCACAACAGAGAGCTAGATAGGAAAAATCTTATACTTCAACATCCTCCATAGTGCTACACTACCTCCCTAGATTGCACATTACTATAGAGACTGTCAAATCAAAGCATACTGAGCAGGCAATTTGCAAGGAAACATGTACTTGGAGCCCTCAAATTTTAAAAATTTGGACAGTGGACTAGGCTCCAAGCCCTCAAGTAAGCAAACTGTTCAACAGGTGGAAGTTTTACTTGTACTAGAGATAGTTTAGCTTCACCTAGTAGGATTACCCCCACTAAGGATAACTAAAATCTCATCCAAAACCCGATTTTGTGGAATGAACGGTGCCACACACGTTCGGCTTACCCCATGTTTAAGATTTAATGATTTCGACATGGAGGACCAACAGCTTTTGATTTTTCACTTGAGCACCCTGTTCGATACATGAGTCCATAACTCAACCCAAATAGAGTCACCATTACCACATGAATTCAACGGTCTTAGCTCCACTTATTCACAAAATCAACTAGCACAACAGAGAGCTAGATAGGAAAAATCTTATACTTCAACATCCTCCATAGTGCTACACTACCTCCCTAGGTTGCACATTACTAAAGAGACTGTCAATTCAAAGTATACTGAGCAAGCAATTTGCAAGGAAACAGGTACTTGGAGCCCTCAAATTTTAAAAATTTGGAGAGTGGACTAGACTCCAAGCCCTCAAGTAGGCAAACCGTTCAACGGGTGGAAGTTTGAGTTTTACTAGAGACAACTTAGCTTCACCTTGTAGGAGTACCTTACTAAGGATCACTAAAATCTCCTCCAAAACCCGATTTTGTGCAATGAACGGTGCCACACACGTTGGGCTTACCCCATGTTTAAGATTTAATGATTTCGACATGGAGGACCAACTGCTTTTCATTTTTCACATAAGCACCCTGTTCGATACACGAGTCCATAACACAATCGAAATAGAGTCACCATTACCACATGAATTCAACGGTCTTAGCTCCACTAATTCACAAAATCAACTGGCACAACAGAGAGCTAGATAGGAAAAATCTTATACTTCAACATCCTCCATAGTGCTATACTACCTCCCTAGGTTGCACATTACTATAGAGATTGTCAAATTAAAGCATACTGAGCAGGCAATTTGCAAGGAAACAAGTACTTGGAGCCCTCAAATTTTAAAAATTTGGACAGTGGACGAGGCTCCAAGCCCTCAAGTAGCCAAAGCGTTCAACAGGTGGAAGTTTTACTTGTACTAGAGACACCTTAGCTTCACCTTGTAGGAGTACTCCACTAAGGATCACTAAAATCTCATCCAAAACCCGATTTTGTGCAATGAACGGTGCCACACACGTTCGGCTTACCCCATGTTTAAGATTTAATGATTTCGACATGGAGGACCAACTGCTTTTGATTTTTCACTTGAGCATCCTATTCGATACATGAGTCCATAACACAACCCAAATAGAGTCACCATTACCACATGAATTCAACGGTCTTAGCTCCACTAATTCACAAAATCAACTGGCACAACAGAGAGCTAGATAGGAAAAATCTTATACTTCAACATCCTACATAGTGCTACACTACCTACCTAGGTTGCACATTACTATAGAGACTGTGAATTCAAAGTATACCGAGCAAGCAATTTGCAAGGAAACACATACTTGGAGCCCTCAAATTTTAAAAATTTGGACAGTGGACTAGGCTCCAAGCCCTCAAGTAGGCAAACCGTTCAACGGGTGGAAGTTTGAGTTGTACTAGAGATAGCTTAGCTTCACCATGTAGGAGTACCTTACTAAGGATCACTAAAATCTCCTCCAAACCCCGATTTTGTGCAATGAATGGTGCCACACACGTTGGGCTTACCCCATGCTTAAGATTTAATGATTTCGACATGTAGGACTACCTGCTTTTCATTTTTCACATGAGCACCCTGTTCGATACCCGAGTCCATAACACAATCCAAATAGAGTCACCATTACCACATGAATTCAACGGTCTTAGCTCCACTAGTTCACAAAATCAACAGGCACAGCAGAGAGCTAGATAGGAAAAATCTTAAACTTCAACATCCTCCATAGTGCTACACTACCTCCCTAGGTTGCACATTACTATAGAGACTTTCAATTCAAAGCATACTGAGCAGGCAATTTGCAAGGAAACACGTACTTGGAGCTCTCAAATTTTAAAAATTTGGACAGTGGACTTTGCTCCAAGCACACAAACAGATCTAATGCAGTCAAAAGAGAAACATCCCCCCACACTTAACATCGACATTGCCCTCAATGGAGAAGGGGGAAGGATAAGGGGAAGGATGTTACCGGTGTGCACGGACTTCATGAGACTGGAAGCGGACCAGTCTGAGTGAAGCGGACTAGAGAGGGGACCAGTCAGGAACAAAGCACAACTAAAGGGAACAGAAGAACTCAAACACAATACGTTAGGTCCAATGGTAAGCCCAATAATACATCATCAAAATAAAATAAAATAAAATAAAATAAACCAACACACAAGACAACTTGCACTCTGACAGAAGGAAACAATACAAAAGGGGCCCACGAGTACAGCCTACTCGAGCCCGGTGAAGTCAATCTGGTCCATGAGGTCGTCGACCGCATCAGCCGGTGGTGGTGGTGGCGGTGAGTGGTCCCACCGGGTGGACAAGTGGTGCTCCTCTGGTGGGTGACAAGAATGGAGCAGGTGCTCCTGGTACTCCATCATCTGGCGGCTGCGAGCCCTCTCTCGCTCGATGAGAGCTGATAACATCGTATTTGCACATGTTTGCACCCTCGTTTCTTGATCATTTTGGCTTGAGTTTTTACCGTCTTGGACTATTTTACAGTAGGTTGTGTTCCTTTGTCACATTTCAGGTCCTAGCATGTAAATTGGAGCAAAGGCGCAAGTTTCATGTCAATCGGAATTCATTTGCCAATTCGGCAGAAGAAACACGAGCATGACCTGAGGAATAATGGATTTCTACGTCATTTTATGGACAAATAATCATGGAATCTTGTCAGGAAAAGAAAGAGGACGAGACTACGAGCGTCTGGGTTCAAACGGCGACTGATTCGGAGTCCGGACGAGGGAGAAACGAAGCATTAAACAAGAGTAGAGGAAGAATTACGGGCAGACCCTGACCAATTACGGTCGTAATTGCTCCTTTCTTGCCGGTAATTGCAATGCCGAGTCTAATTATTCAGAATTCCTGTCGCAGAGACAATTACGGGCAAGAGTCAAAGTAACTACGGTCGTAATTCCATAATTACTGACAGTAATTGGGTAATTACGACCGTAATTCCCTTCCTCGGAGTTAAGTAAAACGCGCGTTTTGGGAGATTTATGGACAGACCGTGATTACGACCGTAATTCAGCCCGTAATTCGCCCAGAATCGGGTTTTTGAGGCAGATTCGAGCCAAATGAGAGGGAGTCGACTTTTTGGAGCAAAAATAGAGTTTTAGACAGAAAAAGTGCGAAGAACAAACCCTAGGAGCTATTTGGAGTTGATTTCTCACCATTGAAGCCCATATTGCATCCCCAGGAGTGAAAATCATCATCCCAGAGCAGATTCTTCCCATTGTTATGAGTATGACTGCTTTGTATTATGTTTCTCTATCTCTCTCTATGTAGTAGACCCTTATCTCACTTGGGTATGAAGAACCCTAGTTCCATGTGTTAGGGATCATGATTGTAATGACTTGGGATTGCCATACTGTTTGGTTTTAATCGAATGATGCATGATTCATTGAATTGATTGAAGTCTGATGCAACCTGAGATAGATAGAATCTGATTAGGTTGTTAGAGCTTCTTCATTCGGAAGTAGTAGATTGGCTATACGAGAGTTAGTCAGTCTACTGCTTTGTACTGGAATCCAATTCCAGTAGTGGAGTTCTGTGCTTATTGCTTCAACGTTCTATCCCGGTGAAGACTAGTCGTCTGCCGCGTAGTTAGACTGAGAGGGCTTGGTCAGCTTAAGAGATTCCAAGCTACTGTCGGATCTTCCGCAGTTTAATCAACAGTAAATCAACCCAGGGTAATTACAATTGAGACCTAACTAAGGAGCTAGGGGGACTCATTCCCGAGTGACTCTTCTTTTGCTTTAGAAAACCGAATCAATTCCTGCTTTCTTTCTGCTTTCAGTTAAGACCACAATCAATCGACTTAGTTGGCTAGATAATAGATAATCACGGAGTAGGCAGTAGATCTAGACCCCGGGTTGATAATTAGACTTGCCAACAGTTTGGTGTTGTGTCGTAGCGTGTCAAGTTTTTGGCGCCGTTGCCGGGGACTTTCTAGATTATTAGGAAAGGCATAAGTTTGTTACTTTAGCGTTTTTTTCCACCCTTGCTTTTCACTTGGGTGTTTTTGTTTTTGTTGGTGCAGATCTGAATCATGGATCCTAATGGCTTCTCTAACCAGTGGGGGTATCCACCACCATCTGAGTGGTATTACCCCGAGACTTCCCGGAGCAATCAAGGAGGAGAGGACTATGGATTCGGGTCCCAGTACCAACCCCCTTACTACAGAGAACAATCAGACCACTGGGCATATCAAGAACAACCTACTTATCCGGAAGAATTCCTCCCACAACTAGAAGGGCCATTAGATCTTGATTTAGCCACAGCCTTCACGGGCCATCCGGCAGAGCCATGCTACACTCCACATCCAGATCCAAACTATCACTTGAGGCTTCTTGTGGAGCAGATTGCTCGAGTACCTGAGAGATCCTTTCCCGATATGGATCCGCATATCCAGGCCATGGCCCAAACTGACTTCTGCTTTCCCCGTGAAACAGAGGATACCCTTCGGAGCATAAAGAAGCACATAGAGGTCATTGAGAAAGCTTGTGCACAGTTTGCTCAAGACAACCTTTATGCTGCCATACAAGTAGAGGAGGAGGAAGAAGAAGTCAATCATGAGGATGTTGAGGAGCATAGAAAAGTTGTCACAGAAAGCTCCCATGATAATCATGATCAAGTGTATCCTCTAGTGGTAGATTACAACTGTCCCCATTTCTGCTCTGATATGCTGGGCCCGAGCGATGAGATGCAAGATGATCTCATTGAAGAAATTACATGGCGACTTGCTCTCCAATCTGTGCTAGAAGAAGAAGAGCGAGAAAGGGTGAGGGAAGAAGTTGTGGAGGATGAGGAAGAAAGTAAAGAAGAGGAAGTTCTTGATCTTTTCCAAGGGGAGAGGCCACATTCTGATGAAGGCAGGGGGGTTGAAGAAGCAAGTGGTGTCCAGACTGAGGATGAACTTGAGGTGGAAGAGGCTTGCACCGACCATGATTTACATGTGATATCTCCACCAAACTTAAAGGAACTGCTTAGCAAGGACCCATTTGCAATGTCTCTTTGCCAGACCAAGGCCACATCAACATCAGTCCCTCTTGGTGGACGCGATAGTGGTCATTCGATACTGCTATATTTGGTTTGGGGCAATGAGACAAGAGAAGAAACGAGGAAGAGGTATCGAGGGTGGATACTTCAGTTGCATCAAGTACATGAGCCTTCATCACCTGCCACACCACCTGCTCGTGACTTGAGACTCCACCTCATAGATGAGAACCTCAACTTCAAAGAGGTTCTAGCATGGACCGAAACTTAGGAGCTACCGTCCGGCTCACGACGTGAAAGAAGCGCTTGTTGGGAGGCAACCCAACTAGTCGATTCACATTTCTTTCCTTATCTCTCCTCAGTTGAGTCAGTTTTGTTCTTTGATGTTAGAGTCAATAACTCAACCTTTGTGAGATTTTGTGTGTTATTTGTGTTCCGACTACTCTCTCCTCCTAGAATGCACTGCCTGCCCCGTCCACCATCATTCACCCTTGATCTGGTAACTTCGTTTTACCCTCCTTATCTTTCCTCCATTGAGGACAATGTCGTGCTTAAGTGTGTGTGTGTGTGGGGGGGGGGGGTGTTCGATTATGTATGCGTGTGAATGTTTGGCTGTATGTGTGTGCTTGGAGCCTAGTCCACTGTCCAAATCTTGAGATTTGAGGGCTCCAAGTACTGTTGTTTGCTTGATCGTATTGGCATTGTGAGTTTAATTGGTGAATCGAATGGCTTTCGAATGAATGTATGACAACTGGATTGTGACTAGGACAACCTATAATGATGACCAGATTCTTCCCATTGTTATGAGTATGACTGCTTTGTATTCTGTTTTTCTCTCTCTCTATTGAGTAAACCCTTCTCTCACTTGGGTATGAAGAACCCTAGTTCCATGTGTTAGGGATCATGATTGTAATGACTTGGGATTGCCATACTTTTTGGTTTTAATCGAATGATGCATGATTCATTGAATTGATTGAAGTCTGATAAGCTTTTCTTGATTTCTGCTGCAACCTGAGATAGATAGAATCTGATTAGGTTTTTAGAGCTTCTTCATTCGGTAGTAGTAGATTGGCTATACGAGAGTTAGTCAGTCTACTGCTTTGTACTGGAATCCAATTCTAGTAGTGGAGTTCTGTGCTTATTGCTTCAGCTTTCTATCCCGGTGAAGACTAGTCGTCTGCCGGGTAGTTAGACTGAGAGGGATTGGTCAGCTTAAGAGATTCCAAGCTACTGTCGGATCTTCCGCAGTTTAATCAACAGTAAATCAACCCAGGGTAATTACAACTGAGACCTAACTAAGGAGCTAGGGAGACTCATTCCCGAGTGACTCTTCCTTTGCTTTAGAAAACCGAATCAATTCCTGCTTTCTTTCTGATTTCAGTTAAGACCGCAATCAATCGACTTAGTAGGCTAGATAATAGATAATCACGGAGTAGGCAGTAGATCTAGACCCCGGGTTGATAATTAGACTTCCACTTTACTGCATTCCTGGACTGCGATTACACTTGGTCGTAGTTTGGTGTTGTGTCGTAGCGTGTCAAGAGCACTAGTGACTCCCATCTGAGCCTCCAACCGTCAGCCTGGACTGGTACTCGGCCTAGTGGGCCGAATACTGCTGGTATAATTCGACCTGGTGGTCCATGAGCTGCTGGTTCTGAAGCCGAGCTGCTGGAACTGGAGCCCCATCTGCTGGAACTGCTCCGTGAAGAAGTCCATCGACGGGCCAGAAGCCATCGACGGACCAGAAGGACCGGAGGAGGACTCGCCTTTCTCTGATCTCCGTCGTGGCTGGAGGTCCCTTGGTGGAGAAAGTGGGGGCTCCAGCTCATCGACATCCATGTCCCCCCCATCATCATCATCATCATCGTCATCCTCCTCCTCGCCGGTGTAGTCATCATCCTCCTCGTCCTCATCGAGATCCGCATCCTCCTCAGGGGGCAAGGAGAGCCCATCCACCCAGGAGGGGGTGCCATCAGTGGCCAGGAGGAGTGCATTGTGGAGCACGTCCCAGCTGAGGGGGGTGGAGGCGCCCCGTGCAGTAGAATCCGTGAGTCCCTCGAAGGTGATGTCGAAATGGCGCGCCAGGCGGGTGATCAGGGTACCACAGAAGAGATAGTTTTGTTTCCCTTGGCAGCGAGAGAAAGTGGTAGCCACGAAAGAACCCAAATGCAGCATATGCTCCGGGTACCCCATCGAGTACATGGCGTACAGCACCCGCTTCGGGATCTTATGTGAACCGATGGCATTGGGGACGATGGATCAGGTGATCATCAGATTAAGGATATGCCACTACGGCTTGAGGGTGCGGACGGATGCCTGGCCAACGTCGAAGTAGTCGTACCCATAGGCGCGCCTGGCCATCTGGCGGTAGAAACCCGTCCTGGTTCCAGTGTGTCGGGTTCAGGACCTCGACCTCGTGGCGTAAGTAAGGGTGGTACTCGATCCCCATGGCGTAGGCCAACCCGTCAATGGTCAGCTCCCGTGGGTGGCCACCCAGTCTGAAAGTCACTGCGTAGGAGTCCCGGGCCGCCTTGGGGCGGTACTGGAAATTGGTGTAGAACTCCCACACCAGCTCGGTGTAGGTGGTCTCCTCGATCGTCAGCAACGTCCGCCAATCCCGGTGGCTGATGGCGGTGGAGAGATCCTGTATGCAATGGAGTTACTCAAATACGGCCCACTCCAGATGGTGGTGGCGCTCCAGTCTCCCGCGGGTGACCTTGCGGAACTAGTCCGCGAAGTCCGGGTGCAGGCGCAAGTCCTGCACGAACGGATGGTCGAGTGACGTGTTCCTGTAAAATCAACAAACCAAAGGTGGAGCCAAGCAAAACTCATCAGGACCAACAACATGGGTTCATCACTTCCCCCACACTTAAGGACCATTTAGGCTAACAGTTTAAGCATAAACGGTTGAATAGCAAGCAACTCAACCGTAATCACGGCAAGAATCAAGCAAACCGACCAATTCAATCCACGGGCAGCACACACACCACAGGCATAACCATTCATACTCAAGGCATCCCTCACCCTAGCCTAATTCAATCATGCCAGGCAAACACAATTCTCAAGTAGAACTGTAGGTAGGGCGCAAAAAAAGGGTGAGGGACACGAAAGGGGAGCCAAGAATGATTCGGGAGGCTCGCCGCAAAATGGTCTGAAAGTCGCCGGAAAACTCCCCAGAAGGTCGCCGAAAAGTGGCCGGCGACGGGGCCGGCGGAGGGCGGCGGCAGGGGTCGCCAAATAGGAGAGAGGGCAGAGGTTTTTGAGAGGAGGAGAGGGAAATTTTGGAAAAAATGAGGGTAGAGAGAGAAAAATGACCGGGGGTTTGCTTAAATAGCAAAAATCCCCGGTCGGGGCTCAAAAATACCTGGTCGGGTATTTTCAGTCCACGACCGGTGGTTTTGGAAAACGGCGCATTTTCATGTGTTGGAAACCCTCGGCCTTGAGCCAAAAATACCCGGTCGGGTATTTTTGAGTCAAGGTCGGGGATCCTGAAACGCATCGTTTCAAGGCTGGGAAATCCCCGGCCTTGAGCCAAAAATACCCGGTCGGGTAGTTTTGGGTCAAGGTCGGGGATTTTCCCTTTGGGCGCCCCGGAAGACAGAAGGGGTCCTGACCATGGTCCATAAATACCCGGTCGGGTATTTTGGGACACGACCGGGTATTTCCCCCTTCGTCCAAAAAGCTCAAACTCCCAAATTTTTGACATCCCCTGCACGAAAACACTAAACCGAGGCATAACAGACGACCGAACTTCAATACAGACATGCAACTGACTTAACACGACACAAAAACACAAGAAAAGGGAAGAAAGAAATGCAAACCGTGGTGGGGTTGCCTCCCTACAAGCACTTCTTCACCATCATTTAGCTGGATGCCCATGGCGGAACTAAGGGTCCGCGAGTTCCACTACCAACTCCGCACGTTCGACCTCGTCTCCCAAGTAAAGCTTGAGACGATGGCCATTTACTTTAAACGGGTCAATCTGTGGGTTGGCAATATCAATAGTGCCATACGGGAACACCTGTGTGACCGTGAACGGTCCAGACCACTGGGAATGGAGTTTTCCGGGAAAGAGCTTCAGGCGAGATTTATAATGGAGAACTCGATCACCAACTTGGAACTCTTTCGGACCCCGCAACCGTGCATCGTGCAGGCGCTTAGTGCGCTCCTTGTACAACTTGGTGTTCTCATAGGCGTGATAACGCCATTCCTCCAGCTCCAACATCTGCATTTTGCGCTCAACACCTGCAACACTAACCTCCAAGTTGAGCAGCTTAAGGTCCCAAAAGTCCATGTGCTCTAGCTCCACGGGCAAATGGCATGCCTTTCCATAAACAAGCCGGTACGGTGAAGTACCAATGAGTTTCTTGTAGGCAGTGCGGTATGCCCAGAGAGCATCATCGAGCTTGGTGGACCAATCCTTGCGGGATTGATCCACCGTCTTCTCCAGGATACGCTTGAGCTCCCGTTTTGTCAGCTCGGCCTGGCCACTTGTTTGAGGGTGATAGGCCACGGACTCCTTATGAGTCACATCATAGCGAGACAGTAACTTATCAAACTGGCCCTGGAAAACCTCGATCGCTTATGATGGCTATAGGTGTCCCTAACCGGGAGCATAACTACTTCAAAAAACCACAAACATGTCTAGCATCATTAGTGGGCAAAGCTTGCGCCTCAACCCACCTAGAGACGTAGTCAACAGCAACCAAGATATAGGTGTTTCCAACGGATGGAGGGAATGGGCCCATGAAGTCGATACCCTAGACATGAAAAATCTCACAAGTTATAAACACATTCTGGGGCATCTCATCACGGGCAGAGATGTTACCTGACCTCTGGCATCGGTCGCACTTGCGTGCGAAGGCGTCTGCGTCCTTGAAGAGCGTGGGCCAGTAAAAGCCCGACTGTAGCACCTTCCTTGCTGTGCGGTTTCCTCCGTGGTGACCGCTAGTAGGTCCTTCATGACAGTGAGATAGAATGTCCTCCATCTCACTCTCCATAACACAGCGACGGATGATCTCGTCCGCTCCGATCCTGAAGAGATGAAGGTCATCCCCGAAGTAGTGCTTCAGGTCGGAGAAAAATTTCCTCTTGGTGTGAGTTGTCATCCCCTTAGGCAGCTGCTGTCCCACCAGAAAGTTCGCAAAATCGGAGTACCAAGGGGTGACACTCTCCACTAGGTACATCATCATCAGTCTCTCATATGGGAAGTGCGTCCAACCGGGAGAGGTGATTGGCTGCAACATTCTCCGCTCCCTTCTTGTCCCGAATCTCGATGTCGAACTCTTGCAATAATAAGATCCATCGTATGAGCCTAGGCTTGTCATCAGCCTTGCTCATCAGGTATCGAATCATGGAGTGATCTGTATACACGGTCACATGGGACAAGACCAGATAAGGACAAAATTTGTCGATGGCAAACACCACCGCGAGCAGATCCTTCTCCGTGGTGGTGTAGTTCTCCTGGGCATCATTTAGGGTCTTCAAGTCGTAGTAGATAGGTCGGAAGTGTTGATCTCGCCTCTGTCCCTAGACAGCTCCAACAGCAAAGTCACTGGCATCGCACATCAGCTCAAATGGTAGGGACCAGTCAGGAACGACCATGATAGGAGCTTGGGTGAGCTTCTCCTTCAAGGTCGTGAATGTCGTTGTGAATGCATCAGTGAACTGGAAGGGGGCATCCTTCTCAAGAAGCTTAGTTAGGGGCAGGGCGATCTTCAAAAAAATCCTTAATGAACCGCCTGTAGAACCCTGC